CCCCGCTGAAAAAACCCTAGCTACGCCACACTTTAACGGTTATTTACATTTACTAGGATTTTATTAAATTTTTCCCCAAAATCTGTCGGTGTCAGCTTTCCCCCCTTGGGGTCCTCCTCCGCCCCGAGGCCACGGCCCTGGCCACTAACACATGGCTCTCTCATTACTACCTGTCCAACAGCAGTGATCTGACGGGCTGGGGAGGGCCGAGCATGGCCAACGTCTGTAGCTCAAGCAGCCAGTAGAGGCCGTCGCAGTCGCCGTCGTCGGCGCTGTTTCCCGTGTCCTTGTCGCCATCGGGGCTTGAGCGAATCGCCTCGTCGGCGTCGCCAGGCAGCCGGCGCGTCACCTGACCCGCTCCGCTCGTCGGCGCGTCCGTCGGCGCGTCCGTCGGCGCGTCCGTCGACTCGACAGTGGCGCTGTCGTTCGTCTCCGATCCGGCAACGCGCGACGGCAGCGCCGCCGGTCCTCGTAAGGAGCGACGATGGTGCCCCCTGCGCACCGATCTCTTGCCGTGCTTATCGCACGCGACCAGTAGCGTTGGCTTTGCGCATGCGCCGGCGGATAAAATGCAATCGCTACACGCTTCGTTGCTGTCATCACTCAGATCTATCTCGAATGCCGTGTACATTTCAGAGAGCGGCAAGCCCTGCGCGACTGTCGGAGGAGACCGCGATGACATCATCCGTCCCAGTGACAGCGATGACGTCATCCGTCCCGGTGACCGCGATGGCGTCATTCGTCCCGGTGACCGAGATGACGTCACCTGACGCGGTGACTGCGATGACGTCATGTGTCTCGCACGCGACGAAGCCCCGGTCCGCCCGGGGAACCGCAGTGACATCCTCCGTCCTGCCGCCGCGTCCGTCGCTCTAAGTTCTGCGTTACCCAACGACGTGACGCCGCGCTCGCACGCAAACGAATGTCGGGCGCGCGGTGAGTACGGCTTGGCGTGCCTGTCGGTCGAGGGATAGGTGGCGGTGGCGTCGTTCGCGAGAGCGGGGGAGCGAACAGGAATGGGAATTGCGAGGTCAGACGAATCGCACTCGATTGCCGCGCGACGGCCTCCGACGATGTTAACGCAGCGAGACGGTCGCCGGCTGGACGTATTCACAGCGTACGTGCGCGTGCCGCCGAGCGCTACCGAATTCGCCGACGACGGCGGGCTCTCTCGCCTTGTCTCGCCTCCCCCGCTGCCGTTCCCCTCGTCACCCGGGCTCTCCGGCTGCGTGGTGTGCTCGCCCGCCGCCCACCGGTCGCCGCGATCCGCGACGGCTTCCTTCCTGCCGCGATCCCCCCGCCAGAGGTCGCTCTCGACGTTGACTACGTGAACGCCGCCCTCGTACGTGCCGACGAGCAGCTGGTGGCCGACGGCGAGGATCGACGACACCCTCACGTCGCGCTGCTTCGCCGCGTCGCCGCCAGGCGGCGAGAGCGTGCACTCGTGGAGGCAGCGAAGGGTGCGAGGGTCCCACAGTGTCAGCAGGGAGGAGCCCTTGAGGCTGATCCATGCTCCGTCGTCACTCCCCTCCACGGCATGCACCTGGTCGGCTGGACTGCAGGACACTTGGAAGCAGTCAGTCTCCACGAGAGACCTGCGCGCGCATAGGCGCAACGACGAAACCAGGGGCCCGTTGTGAGAATCATCGTAAATAGTTTACATATTAATTACATAATAAATTCAAAATATTATAATCTTTTAAATAAAGTGACGTGCAAATGTTATGATACTTTAGACTTATGATAGTCATTATTATGTTTTTGAAAACGTCGTCGGAAACATCGAATAAGTTTTTGATCCTAGGTTACCTGCCTAGCAGACCTAATCTAGGATAGACATATTGTACATATTATATACCTAATAATATATTAATTGTACATTTACATTAATTATACAATTTATTACTATACATTAATAATTATTTAGATTTATAAATATTAATTTATTATTTTATACAATTAATTATTACATTTATATTTATACATTATTCTAAGTTATGCATAGGCCTATGTGCGTGCGTGCGTGCGTGCGTGTGTGTGTGTGTATGTGTGCGTGTGTGTGTATGTGTGTGGGGTGCATGTGTGTGTGCGTGCGTGTGTGCGTGTGTGTGTAAAGGGCCGGACACACCAGGCGATGCCATCGGCCGATGGCATCGGCGTGAAAATCGCCTGGTGTGTCCACTAAATCGCCGCCGATGCCATCGGGCGATTGTACAATTCATCAGCCAATCAGAGTTCATCAGCCAAGCGCGCTGCGCCAGCTGCGCGCGCAAGAATCGTGCGATGCCATCGGCCGATGCCATCGCCCGATGGCATCGCCTGGTGTTTCCACGATTGCGCGATGCCATCGGCCGATCATCGGCCGATGGCATCGCCTGGTGTGTCCGCGACTGCCCGATGCCATCGGCCGATGGCATCGCCTGGTGTGTCCGGCCCTTAACTGGGGAATGTGCAAGCTTGAGACGAGATACATGTAAAGCATAAGTTAGAGCGGGAGCAAAACAACAGATGTTGCATGGTCGAAGCAATGCGAATCAGTCCCTGATCTGACGAGAACGCCCACCCGAACTCACGGTGAAACTTACTCGGCTTCGAGAATGAATATGCGATTCCCACAACCACACCAGAGCCTGCCGTCGATGAACGCCAGGCAGGTGACGGGTGGCGCTGCGACGCACACGTTACGCAGTACTTTTTCTCCCTGCCAACACGAGGCAATTGCATTTGTCATTCACACTCAAATGGTAATGTCCCGCGTTCTCCTTATGCAATATAATTATGCGAAGCCTTGGCAGAATGTTCGCTTGGTAAACCATATGTGCATATATATATATATATATATATATATATATATATTGAGAAATCGTTTGACTTCGCGTGGAAGAGGCCTGCTTATCTCGAATCTTCGTGTTCGTATAAAACATATATATATATTTATTTATTTATTTATTATATATATATATTTATTTATATTTAAATATAAAATACACGAATATATTTTTATATACATATAAATACCTGTATGAGAGTTATAGTCCCATCTGCCAAGCCTACAGCCACCATGTCACGGGACACGTACAGCATGCATAGAGGTATGTCCTGCAGTGCGATACTAAACAACGACTGCCTGCAATAACAGCGACAATAATGGGATAGAAATTACATGAACATTGCGCATTTAGTCATTTAATCACCAATCCGCAAACGTATTTGGTTGTATTCATCATTCGAACACCATGAAGTATAGCTCGCGCTGCGTTTCAGTTCACGCAGAGCTGCTCATGGTGAATCGTATATGCTAGCTCTGACGTATTAGAATGGTAGCCCAAATAACCATTCAATTAACATATAAGGCCGGGCACATGATTGCCACAACTACTTTTTCACTAAGTCTATTAGCCCGGGATATGATAGCTCGGGGATGTGATGGCCCGTCGTGGACATCATAGTTAAGTATGAATCGCATTTATGGGCAACCTACTCATATTCATCCTTAGTGCTGAGCATCTGCAGCTTACAGTCAGCCGTGCACAGAACTAATGCTGCCCTCTCGTGGCAGAATGTTGCGCACGTGGTTGTAGCATTTAACTGCAAATAGAACCAATCGCAGATAGCTCCGATAGTAACTAGTATAATATATATTTAACGTGTATAATAATTTTGATAGCTACTACACTACTACAGCACTAGACGCATTCAATCCACACGTACACGCCCACACACGCACGCGCACACACTCGCCTATACGCACGCTCACACACATGCGAACACGCGCGCCACACCGGCACACATACTATGACCAATCACCCACACCTAACCTATATGTTACGTTCACAGTGTATGTATTCTATAGCTGGAAGTTTATTTAATGTTTAATATAGTTTTACGGAAACCAAATAAACATCGCTAACTAACCAATTTGTGTATTTAACCATAATAACTTATTACATTTCGATCTGTTTCGTTGAAAGCCGCGGTGTTCGCTTCTACGTACACTTATTCTGCATATTATGCGAGGAACCTTATTAAATTGAAATCATGCCTGTATGACGCTGCTATAGTTATCGTCGCTCACACGGTACACTGTAGTCTTTCCCTCAGTGGACTCGCTGACCCATATTGTACCTGCAAAAGACATGTACACATAAGTACCTACGACTCGATAATCATTATACAGGCCGCCCACGAAATTGTCTGAAAATAAATGCATCGCCATTTCGGCGGGTGATCGGCAAAACAAGCGTTTATTATAAACTAAACTAATCGTAATTCAAGAGAAAAATTACTGACCGACGGCACCACTTAACTCCTTTGTGTTCATTCATCCACCTTTGGGGTGGTATTTTTAAGATACTATATACAAATGAGATTGGTATGTTATAGTAAACCAGGAGTAAAAATACCAGAATCGCTCATTCTATTATGCTTCTCATGATATCTCATGTTATTGTCATAGCAAGTAATATCTCTGTTTGATCGATTTCTCACAGATTATCGAGAGATCGATCGATTTATCGGGGTCTTACATACGCGACAAAAATTAAACACGGTTATTTTAGATAAAATTTATTTAAGATGAAATTTTGAAAATCACAATTCATATTGTATAGCAAGACTTGATACTGCAGCTGGCAATGACTTCTCCCCGTTCTTCCCCCATAACAATGCACCTTCTTGTTTTCCCTCTCCTGCTAACTTTTCAAGGTTACCTTCGCCGTCAAGGATGGCGCGGTAAGAGTGACTCATGCTGCAGCGCTCTGCCGCCGCGACGCCAGAGCCATCGATGTGCAGCGAGTCGGCCCTCTGTCTGCTCATGGCAGCTGCCTTCTCTCCCAGCAGAAGCATCTTTGTGTAGTATGCCTGTTTCACGGCTATGTCTTTGCGGTTGGGGAATGGTTTCAGCGCCGTGTATGCGATCTGCGAAATGCGTGCGGCCAGCGTGGTTTTGATTATATAAAGACTACATACATATAGTTTACGTGCTCTACATTATATATCACATTAATCACATTATGTATAACTAACGTCAGAGATTTGCATCACATAATAACACCACACATTATATTAGTGTAGTACATTACATATTGTAAATATCTGATAATATAATATATATATATATATATATATATATATATATATATATATATATATATATATATATTATATATATATATATATCAAGAGCGCATTGCAAGCAGCATTTCATAGCATTGCAAGAGCGCATTACGCTCTTGAAATATATATATATATACTCTACTAGTTATTTTTCTACCATTTTTATTCTTTATTGCTCTCTATGTGTTTATATATAAGTTACCTTGCTATACTATAAATTACGATGTTGCATGTCATTCTCGAACAAAAAACGATAATACCATAGACAGTAATTAACTCACCCAGACCCAGTATCTAACGTTCTGTTGTTTTCCCGCTCTATATTTGGTTACCTTGACGAGAGTTTCGGTATCGCAGAGTGACCCTGGCAGACTCTTCAGCGAGCAGATGACGGTGGAGTAGTCGTTAATAGAGAGCAGCTGATATTCGAGCATCGAGAGCACGGCAAGGGAGAAACGCAGGAGAGACTTAGCTCCGTCTATGAGAAAGCAGTCCCACACGTGCAGCATCACCTGGGAAGCATAGAGGTGGCGACATAATTTATCATAAAAAATCTAACATAATAACGTTAATGCATTATTAACAACAAAACTTAACATGGAACATATAGAACATATAACATAGAACCATATTTTAGGGCTTTATCTCTGGTGCTATAGAAACTATAATTATTCGGGACGCTCCACTCAATGGACTTCATTGTTATATACTTAACCGGCTGGTTTGATATGAAGATATAAGTATTTAATTAAATATGACTGGATGGATTGAAATGCCGAGCACATTATTGTTTATGTATTTGGGTTTTAATGCGATAACGGAACCAACTAATCAAACCGACAATATAAATTACGGACAAATTTCTTCCAGGATCTGCATATACGATACGGGAATGAGACTGGAGGTGGGAAATGACAGTGCGAGTGTGACCAACTACATCCGCGTCACTCAGATGTGTGTCGCGTCGCGGCTACGTAGAGCACGCGGGGAGAGACAAAGTCCGACGCGAGACGCGCTTCCTATGTGCAGACGCCTGGACGCCGGCCGCGGCAGAGTAAACAAACAAACAAGCGATTAACCACCGCGTCCAGCTGCTGTCCTTCACGTTAGAAGTGGTGTCGAATGTCGGGACATAGCGAGAATCACGCCGCGACGCGATCCGCAAACTCCAGACTGAACAGTCATTCTACTGTCCGCTCGGCGGCGTGGCCGATCACGGAACGAAAACGAGACACCTAGCTCGGGCATGTTTCCAATGGAGTGTGGCTGTTTTATTTTGATAGTATATATTACGCGCGCGCACACACACACACATACGCGCGCTCCCACCCCCACACACCAATATATATATATATATATATATAATTATTATATATATATTATATATATATATATATATATGTATATATCATGTGTGTGTGTGTGTGTGTATGTGCGTGCGTGGTGTGTGTGTGTGTGTGTGTGTGTGTGTGTGTGTGTGTTGTGTGTGTTGTGTGTGAGTGTGTGTGTGTGTGTGTGTGTGTGTGTGTGTGTGTGCGTGCGTGTGTATGCGTGCGTGTGAGCCAGTTAGTAGGAAAGCGCGCGTGCGCACCTTGTACGCGAGTGGAGTCGTTGTTGTTCCTGAGATCAAACAAGGGAGAGCGGAAACACGATCGTTCTCGCTCCAGCTGCTAAGTACACGAGTCCGCGGCTTTCCGGAAGTCGTTCATTAATCACTCGCCGTCGCGACGTGCCCGGCGCGCATCTTTCCACTCCCCCCCCCCCCCCTTGTTCACGCACGCGAGAGGATGGACCGGTCAACCGACTATAGTTTCCCCTAACGGACTCGAGGGAGGCGTCTGCGGCTTGCGTTGTCAGTCACTCTATCACCGTTGTTCGGTGGCCGTCGTTCGCTCCATCTGGCGCCCGCTGCTTGCTCCTAGGTTGATATACCGGTGCAGTACACTGACGTGCAGTCGAAAGTTTTGTCTTAAAACCCGATCCGCCGGGAGAAGCTATACCTCGTGCTTGCTACTAAAGAGGACAGCGCCGCAGCGACGTCACACCGCCCTCAGTCATCGCTCCGACTACGTAACAGGCGAGAATGGGTGAACAGCCTGCATCGTTCTACTGGCTCCTATTTATCGTGATCGTATCATGCGCTTCTCGGTCGGCTTCGGCTAGCAGCGCTTCGGGTGCATCTAGTGAGAATGATGTGCAGCCGCCGGAGGAGGAGGCTTCGGCGGAGAGCGCAATCGCTAACTATCCGACGTCGCCGAGAGTTCCATGCCGACAGAGTCCGCGCGGTCGGTCTTACCATTCACCACCCTAGCAGCAGTACCAGCAGCAGTGTCGGTGCGACCGAGGCTTCCACTGTCGGGACTGGACAACACACACGCGTCGATGGTAGGCCGAAGCCCACGATCAACCAGGCAGTCGTCGGATGGTGCAATTCTTGCAGAAGGAGATGGCCGAGCTGCGGGGCGCGCAGCAGGAGGAACACGACAAGGTGGCGCTACTGCGAGCACAGATGGAGAATGCCAACAGCTTGTCAACGCACAGGTAATAATGTATATACAAGTAGAATAAAACTAATAGGCCCCCTATATACATATAATAAATATATGCATACTCACACGCGCACGCACATGCACGCACATGCACACACACACACAACACACACACACACACACACACCACACACACACACATATATATCTCAGGAGCTAATAATGACAAATTTGTCATTATTATCTACTGATATATATATTATATATATATATATATATCGACTGCACATTGGCCGAGTGTTTTTGGCTGGCGGTGTCTCATAATGGTAAACACTGATGTCAGTGCTCTCCGTGCTGTTGCATCAACAGGTGTTACCCCGGCCGAGTTTACTGCACACGCTTCGTGGGCGCCCATCGTGCCTAGCTCTCGCAACTGTCACTGTGTTTGTGTCGGGAGAGCGTTATGCCGAGTCTTGGGTGGGGGCTAAAGCCCAGAAGGCGGGGTCCAGCGATATCACTGTCACGGCTCCCGACTCTGTTACCATAAGCACGTACGGTCGTGGCATAGGCTGCGAGGGGCGCGCGACGATGTGAGGGGAGTGCAACGAACTGGCCTGACCGCGAAGACCACGTTTTTTTGACAGGTTTTAGAGATATACGGACGATTTACGAGTAGAGATTAACAGTTTATCGTAACCTTAGATAGTTATCTTGCGTCGTATAGATATCCTTTGAGTATTGTTAGACCTACAGATGCAGCTGCGCCTGCATTGCTCAGTCAGTAAGAGCGAACATACATTCAAACTTTAAACCTATATGTACACACACACACACACACACACACACACACACACACACACACCACACACACACACACACACACTTCACACACACCAAAGAGTCATTCTAGGCAAGCGTCAATGACAGGATTGGCAGCTAACACAGGGCTGTCTATACTCTATTTCCTAGATTGTTAGCTTCCCCAATCAATGACAGATTAAAATTGTGTTTTGTTTACGAAACTAGCACACTTGACACATCTTTGCTTTGTCTATAGCTTCTTCGTGCAGAAGAAAAGAACAACGAGAAGATGTCGACAATGACACGTGAGGTTAGTTGACTGCGCAATCATATATTCAGAGTCAAGTCATACCAGTAGACGGAAAAAGTTCTCAATTATTAATAATTATAAATATGTAACACGTAGTAGCATGAAAATACTATATGATAGCATGCACTACACACACAGAGTACGCGCGCGCGCGCGTGTGTGTGTGTGTGTGTGTGTGTGTGTGTGTGTGTGTGTGTGTGTGTGTGTGTGTGTGTGAGCGTGGTGAGGGCGAAGGCGAGGGCATGCATGTTCAATGTTCATGATAATAGTACTTGTGAAATCATATCTGATTTCTTCTCTTCTTGCCCGTTGGGATTCAATATAAACTTCAGAGTCGGCTATTTTTAGCAAGTTATAAAAATGTTTGGATGTTTTGCTACCGCAGCTGACTCTCCTCATCACCGAGTTCCAGCAGACTCGAGAAGAAGTCGCAGGCAACATTACAGACATCTGGCAAGTGCTCAAAGATCAGGATTTTGAATCGATAAAAGCAATAGGTCGTTTGAACAGCATCACGATGGAACTGACTGAGAGGTTGGTGGCTTAGTTGTAAGAATGCCGTACGACAGGGGCGCATGCGTACATTTGTTACGAATGTGTTTGTTGTCGTTTCGGAACAATGGAAGGAACGAGATAGAGAGATTACTTCTGTGAAAATTTTAAATAATAAAAAAAAAATATATATATGTGCGTGTGTGTGCGTGCGTGCGTGTGCGCGCCTGTGTGTGTGCGCGTGCGTGTGCGTAGGTGTCCATAGCTCAGAGGTCGTTTCATCTGATAAATCCCACTGACGATGATCATGATTGTGCATTCAGACAGGCGACCGACCACAAACAGACGCAGAAGCAACAGGGCATGATGTCGGCGCTAGTCGACCGACTCTCGCTCGACCTGACCGACCTCGTCGGCCAGTACCGCCACAACCTCCCGACGCTCGAGCTCGTCAGCCAACAGGGGGCGCAGCTGCAGGTCATGGGTGAGCAACTCGATCGTCTGCGGGGGCAGGTCGATGACGTCATCGCCGGCGACGACTGGCAGCATGCGCTGACGAAGCGTGTCGACGACAACTCAGCGGGAGTCGAGGCGCTCGCGTACTCGCTGGCGGGCGTCGCCGAGGAAGCGGCCGACGTCGTCGGCAGACTAAACTACAGCGAGGTGAGTTAATACAGTCAAGCCCGTACGTAGTGAGGCGTGTGATACAATCAAGCACGTACACCGCGCGGTGGGCAATGTTGTCAAGCCTGCTCACGGCGAAGTGTAGACTGGTGTCCGTTCTATGTGGTTTAACTCATTAACTCTTTAACTCTATTAGTGCCACCTAAGAGAACCGCTAAGCAAGCGTCCTTTATATACAGGTGTCCGTTCTTTAGAGGTAACCGCTAACACCGATTCGACTCTAACAGGTGCGGCTGGAGGGTTTCAAGCGCGAAGTCGCTGTCGTCGGCGCCAAACTCGACGTCATTGCCGACGACCTGGACACCTTCGAGAACAGTACGTCGCTCGATCTCGAAGGGAAATCAATCGAGATGCAACTGCAGGCGTCGCGCCGCGAGGCAACGGAGCGAGACGTCGCGAGCCTATTCACTGCGCTGGACAAACTCGCCGACGCGCACGAGGCGTCGACGGCCGACGTCGCCGACGTCGTCGACGACGTGTTCCGGCTGCGCAACACGCTGCGCGAAGAGTTGCTGCGCATCAACGAGACGGAGAGAGACGTCGACGCGCTGAACAGCAGCGTGCGCGCGCACATCGACCGCAGCGCCGCCGACGCGGAGCCGAGGAACCGCTACCACAGCGTCAGCTCGCTCGCCAACGAGACAGCCGACGGTGGCGACATCTTCGGCGAGTCGCGATTCCGCGCGTCGATGCGGACCCGACTCGGCGACGTCGAGCGCCGCGTAGGGGCGCTACAGGCGACCTGCGAGCGAGCCGAGACGAACTCGCAACGTCTCGGCAAGATCCTGCTTGACAACTCGGACGGGGAGGCCGGCGATAGCAGCGGCGACGGCGACGGCCCGTTCCCGGCCGCCGACAACGTCATTCCCGTCGACGCGCTCGAGCTGTGGAAGGCCGGCGTTGACACGACGCTTACCAACCTTGAGACGACGTTCTCGGCCGAGCTCGCCTCTCTCGCCGCCAACGTCACACGCGTGACGTCACGGCTATCGAACGTCGACGACGACGAGGAGGAGAGGGACACGGCGAAGGCTGTAAGCGGGCTGGAGTTCTCGCTGAGTCAGATGCAGACAGCGCTAGATGTGCTGCAGATCGGACAGGCGGAGCTGGAGAGCAGGACGCTGAGTCACGGAGATGAGGTGACGAGGCTGGCGAGCAAGGTGCGCGCCGACCAGTACAACCTCGTCGATCTGCAGAACACGATGTTCAACTACTCGCTGCAGGCGTGCAGGGACGTCAACGAAAATCTGCAGCAGAATCTCAAGATATCCAACGTCGAGGTAAGGGGGGGTGGCTCCCTATAGTGTATCACATTCATTTTAGCATCTATCCACCCCAAGATTTACATTGAATGTCCGCGCATATTGTTACTTGTCATTATCATTACTAGTCTTAACCGGGCAGCATATTTGCAATTCTTCACATATATGTTGTTCGTGAGGCCATATATAAGGAAACAAATATGTAGAGAGAGAAAGCGAAAGAACAATAAAGATAGCGTGAGAAGGAGAGATAATGGGAGGCAAGCGAAAAAAATATTTGTGACTGATTTTATTCTATAACTGCGTGACAGCAATTCTAATGTGCGAGATAGCACAGTTGTAGGTCCAGCTACTATACTTCGTCACTATATTGCATGACTGCATACATTCAGGTGAAGTACCACCAATTGGAGAATTCCCTGGAAGAGCAACGAACCAGCATTATACTCATCGGTAACAAAGTCAATGCAATGGCATCCCGCAGTATTACAGACGAACTCAGTAGCAAACTGCGCTCACTCCGGACCGAGGTAGGGGATGAAACGAATAATTTTGTTAGCATGGATTAATCGACATCTGTCTCTATATGTTCGTGTCTCATAATCTGTATTTACTTGTTGCTTCGTAACGCTCACACGTGTCACACTCGTAACCTAGGTGGATTCCGCTATCGATAAGATTCCAAAGGCTGTCGATGTGCTGGAGGCTCTTGACCACCAGGTGGCGCAGTTCGTTTATCAACTGCCCGAGGACTGTAGTATGAGGACAGTGCCAGTACGATACGAGAGCTACAGCAGTGGAGTGTATCTCATCAAACCCAACAACTTAAACGAGTCCGTACGGGTAGGTGTCAAGAATTAAATGAGATAGTATATACAGACTGCTGATAAATTAGACTGCTAGCAGACACGGATACATTGCTCATCAAATTGCCTCAGCACTACATATCGTATGAATTCTTGCTTTTCGTCTTCTCATTCTGGCACTCGTACCTCGCGTTCACAGGTATTCTGTGACGTTGACGAAGCTGGAGACATGTGGACAGTCATACAGAGAAGATTGGATGGGTAAGTAACAACGAAATATGTAAGGGGCAACGTACGATTACACCTGGAGGTAGACATATATAACACCCGTTTTCATGCGTGTCAGTCGTTCTAACCCGTACATTTTTGTGGCTCTTTGATGCTTATTCGAGGGGGGAGAACGACGGAGGAAGTCCATTTTCAGTTTCCCATGTTAAAAATGAACTTGTTTCCAATTAAAAAAATTGTATTTCGCGCGTTCCGGTAACTTTATTTGGTATTTTATCATAATTAAAACTGTCCGATCCGGCGTCCAGAAAATAACCGCACACTTCTTTCTTCGTAGGTCCGTCGACTTCTACCGTACGTGGACCGACTACCGCGACGGGTTCGGTACGGCCGCTGGCGAGTACTGGCTGGGCAACGAGCACATTCACGCGATCACGCGCACGGGCAACTACTCGCTGCGCGTCGACATGTGGGACGCCGACGGCACCTATCGCTACGCCACCTACGAAGAGTTCTCGGTCGCCGACGCCGCCGACGACTACCGTCTGCAGTTGAACGGCTACGGCGGCAACGCCACCGACGCGATGATGTATCACAGCAACATGCGCTTCAGCACGCGCGACCGCGACAACGACGTGAGCAGCAGCCACTGCGCGCGCTTCTACCAGGGCGGCTGGTGGTACACGCACTGCCAGACGACGAACCTCAACGGCGAGTTCAAGGTCGGCATGACGTGGTTCGACCGCGACACGAACGACTGGACGCAACTGGCCAAGGTCGTAATGAAGGTCAGACCGATATAGAGGGTCTACTTATCAAGGTCGTGATGATGGTTAGACCGATATAGAGGGCGTCCTTATCAAGGTCGTGATGAAGGTCAGACCGATATAGAGGGCGTCCTTATCAAGGTCGTGATGATGGTTAGACGGATATAGAGGGCGTACTTATCAAGGTCGTGATGAAGGCTAGACCGATATAGAGAGCGTACTGTTCAAGGTCGTGACGAAGGTCAGACCGAAATAGTGGGGGTACGGACTAGTGTGGTGATCAAGGTCAGACCGATATAGAGGGCGTGCTTATCAAGGTCGTGAGGAAGGTTAGGCCAATATAGAGGGCGTACTTATCAAGGTCGATATGGGGCGCACGTGTGCGTACCGGCGGGGAGGGGGGATCATGATGAAATTCAACTCGATATAGGGCGTAATAATCAAGATTGTGCAAGAATGCAATTAAGCCGATGTAGTGTGTATGTCGACGTACGGTCTTGCTCGTTGTGAATCTCGCAGGCAATTACGAGACGTATTTATGAAATAAAACATATATAGATATTCGTTAGCACCTGTAGAAATGATTCGTAGATATCTCATATATAGATCATATGTGATATATGTCTGTATATGTAATAAAATGGCTATGTGCCAAGAAAAACCACTAAATTTCCTTATTCTTTGTCAAAATGAAACATTTGTAAACGCCCAGTTGTTCTTCCGTTCACAGTCACAAGGTATGAGTATATCTATGCAAACGAGAGTGAATAATAACACAGGTGTTTCTATTCACACCTGAAATAATATATATATATATTGGGAATTGTATAGATTTTGTATGTTCATGTTAACACCTCGTAAACATCATAGCTCTGTCGTTATCTCTTGGACAGGTAAGACAAGCGATCCGTATTCTTAGCTATCATGTTTGGCTCGTGAGAAGTGAAGAGAACGGTATATTAAAATACCAAGTCAACCGGAGTCGTCACCGTGCACTTAGATTCTCTTCCAAGCATTCTCGAATTTCGAATGTAAGCTTTCATGTTTCCATGCTCCTGAGTATCGGAGCGCAAATAGACAAGATGGCGGCGATCGACGTGCTCCCCATCTCTCTCTCTCGCGCGCGCGCTCTCTCTCTCTCTCTCTCTCTCTCTCTCTCTCTCTCTCTCTCTCTCTCTCTCTCTCTCTCTCTCTCTCTGTCTCTCGCTCACACACACACACACACACACTCTCCCTCTATCTCTCTTTCCCCTTCCACTCCCTCCTTCGGCCCCTTAATATCATAGATGAGTGAGTCAAGAATGGCGGCTCGGCGTTTATCGCTGCGACTCACCCTCGAACGGCAAGCGACGGCCGTAAGAAGAGCGGCATCAGCCAGGTGACGGTGATGTTGGTGATATCGACGTGCAGTTGGCCGAGGTGCGCGCTCAGTCGAGGCAGCTCGGCGTCGATCAGCTCTCGCAGCACCTCCTGATGGGCCAGCGCCCCCTGGAGTTCTCCGGCGAAGTAACTCGGCGACAGCAGTT